CAGCAATAAGACAAAACCACGTCAAGTAATTGCTATGGCTGATTGGAGAGCCCTGGAGTTGTTTTGGCAATCATGCTGCTCCTTACTGCTCTCGTCATGTTTCTAGCTTATTAGAAATCATTGTGAAACAAACTAAATCTGGGTGGCAGATGCTAACCGCCTCCAGAAATGGTTTACTCCCTCTGCATTAGGACAGGAGGAGATCAAGGTGAAAGTCCAGGCTCCTTATGGTAAGAACTGGGGAACTGGTTCACAACAGCTGGCTCTTAGCTTACTTTGTTCTCCACAAAGCATCTCAAAAATTGAAGAACTCTTGCAAACATTTAGAAAAACACTAACACCAACTACACAGAGACTTCAGGGGGGAAAAAAAAGCTTTCCCAATCAATCCCCTGACTGCACGCAGGCCTTCCTACGGCAAGGAAAGGAGCCCTATCAAAAAATTCAATTCCAGCACAATTTGAACCCTAGCCAAGATGGTTATCTGCTCCATATTTTAGCTCGTGTCAGGATTGCTTGACACATAATGAAATCCACAGCTCTGGTCCCCTCTCAGGTCCTTCACAGCAGCTCCCTGCTTCAGATGCAAGACAACGTACAAAAATGCATTTCAAATGGAAGGTCTCAATGCTAAAAACACAGATTTCATCCAGAATTAGACATTCCAGATGTGGTCTAAATCTCTTTTCATCAATGAACTCCACACTACTTGTCATTTCTTCATGGATATACTCATTACAGAGAGATAAGAAATTACCTTTGATTTTACAGAAAGAACATTTCCTATCAATACTACTACTGAGGAACAATCCCCACATACAGCAGTTGTGTTTTAAGAATTATGAAAAGGCAACAGAACATTTGATGATCTTACAGGATGTAAATTTGGAAAGCAGCAAATGCTACTTCTGAGAGAAATTTCACCTGCTCTTCAAACATTATTCAGATTCCTTCACGAAAATGAAAACGAACGGAAGCAGAAAACACTGTTTCTTTATCTAATGTTGCCAGTTTATTCTAAGACAATATCAGTGTATTGTGTGTCTACTATTACAGTTACTGAGCAAAACAAGTAGCAAAGCAGCATGCTTTCTCTTCCAGGCAAGTCACAAGCTCCGTAAATCCTCTTCTCCAGCAGCAATGGAATAGATGAAGATTCATTATCACCTTCTAGGAAATAGACTAGGCAAAGCTAAAGCAAGCAGTGATATCCCAATCTTCTTCCCAGGAAATCTATATTCCATAAGGCTTTTGTCATGTAAAAGCCATATGAATTCAAACATACACATATATGGATACTATCCCATGGAGTTCTTTTGATTGAAGTGCAAGTGCAACTTGTGTAGCAATAGCTCTTTGGATGTAGAACAGAAATCACAAGCCCCACATTCACAAAAGAGCTTGTAATGCTTCACAGTGAATCTCTCTCTCTCTCCATCAGTCATGAGTCGCTCTTTCTGGTCTCCATAATTCTAAGCCATTCTAGAATCAAGGCACCTGTGCACCCATTCTCTGAACAGCTCTGGGACCAGGTACAGGTGTGTCAGCAGAGTGTTTTTGTATCTCGCTGTTAATAACCATGTTCCACCTTCAATCTCTTATGTTCATAGCTGCCCACATGCCTGGGGCCTAAATTAAACTGTTGTTGTGCTAGAAGTTGAAGAAATAAACCATAGGAGAACATCACCTGAATAAAGCTTTGCAATATCATTGAGGGAGACATTCTACTGGGCTACACATTACTCAAATGTTTGCTGTGAGCACGTCTGACCAGAAAGGCATCCATTGCCTTGTTATAAAGCTCAGCAGCTGGACCCCATGGAAATCTCTTGGCATCCCCCTGAAGCCACGAAATGCAGATGTAGCAGTTTGCTCTGAGCTGATGCTTTGGAGATATGCCATAACACAAGCTCAACACATTACGAATCTGGTCACAATTTCCATTTAAATTCAATGAGGCACTTAAAATGATATGTTTTTACATTTACAATATAGATAGGCTTGGAAATACTTTAATCAGTAATCAATTTCTTACTCCACCCAAAAGCAGATGGTGAAATATTTCAATTAATAGCAGAAATGTAAGAAGGAAAAAGGGCTCAGACAATAAAGCTGAGCAACACAAAGAATGTTTCAATAAATGGGCCAAACTTTGAGTTTGCCAGAGCCAGGAAAAATATCCCACTGATTTCAGCAGGCACAAGATTTAGCTCTAGCTTGGAAGGACAGTAATGTCAAATGGAGGCCTGTAAGCAGACACTCAGTCAATATCAGAGCACTCTGGTAGATAGAGGTATTTGCTTACTTTTAGCAGATGCAACAGACTTCCAGAAGCATTTCTCAAATGAAGAATTAAAATATAAACTGCTTCCTAGAGTTGTTTGAGGTTTTAACTCTCATCACTTAATATTCATGGGAGGTATTACCTTCTCTCTCAAGAAAATTGAGTTGTTTTTTGTTTTTTTTCCAAAATCCAGTGCAAGAACCTACACCATCAAACACAGATCAGCTATATGAGGTCTATACAGAAATAAAACATCATCTGCTTATCTGGTTAGAGCCTCCTGCTCTAGCTTCAAAGAGACTGTCAGGAATTAGAATAAGCATCTACTGTTCAACCAGGTATTTGTAAGCACAAGCATTAGAACTAGTCTTCGGTGCCAAAACTGCTCATTCGCATTTTATCCTCTACTGGGGAGGAAATTAAAGACCAAATTTTAATTAAACAAGTCTGATATTTCTAGGCGTGCTTATATTTGGCTAGATACAGGTATGCTTGCATAGGAAGGACTACATTGTGGACTTTCAGATGATTTTATGACTAACATGACAAAATTAGTTTTGTAAATAAAATATTTGAAAGGTAATTGTTTTAGAAGTATAAAGGTATTTTGTTGTTGTTTTTTTTTCCAGCCACCTCTCTTGGATATGAATACATCAGCTTAAATGAAAGAAAACCTTAGCCTGAAGCATAGAGTTCACCTCGAAGAGTAGAATCCAGTGAATCAGGAACTAAAATGGGTGCCCTATAGCAAAAACCAGTGAGCAGCACCAGCATATGGCAACAGCACAGAGCCATCTGTGGCAGCACAACAGCAAAAAGCATCCTCAGCCTCACATCTGGCTGCAGCAAAATCCACCTTGCCTATTTAAGGTAGAGAGTAGCATTCATGACACACATATACGTGCTTAACTTTAGAGTGCATTTCTTATAAATCTGACAGAAGTTGGGTACATCCTACTTTGCAGCGGAGCAGCCAAATCACCAAACAGCCTGACAAGCTGTCTTACTGCAGCTTTCCATGTGCCCCAGGGAAGGAGCAGTTTCAGCACAGAAGTCAATGCGTAACTTCACTGCACAAAAGGAAAGTACCAAAGCAGAACAACTATTCTCTCCCAGGACTCACAGCTAAGAAAGTAAATAATAAAATTATTAAAAACCCCACCTTCATTTTTCAAGACATTTCTATTCCAAATCAGTGTTCTCTGCCGAATCTTTCTATCCCAATCTTTATGGTAGTATTTGTCTCTTGGTTCTCTATCTGTATCTCATCTGTAGTCAGCAGAGCCCTTTTATATTTGTCAGAAGTTTTGCAGTATGAAGACTGATCTTTACCAACCAGAACATAAACCCAGAAGGTTTATTGCACCTTCCAAAGAAGCAGAGTTCTAATATTTGCTACTTTGCAATTTAATTACAACAGTTATTACAAAAATAACATTTAATGCAGCCTGTATTAATCTCTGCTGTGGTTTCTGCAGCATTTCCTGTACTTACAAAGGAAATATTCAAAGTCCACAATACATATACAATGTCAGCATTACCATCTCTAATAACACTCTTTTTTGCTCTCTTTTGCTAATGATTTTTACTCAGCACACTATTTTATATGATTGAACTGAAATCCAAAATAATTTTTGAAAAACAAAAACAGAACACTGACTAGTCATACACTTCAGCAGAGTGGCCGCCCTGGTTACCCCCAGGTGGAGAGTTGGAAGAGGAAAGGTGAGAGAAATTTCACCATTATGAACATGAGCACTTCAGGAACACTGCTCCACTGCAGCTCTTAAGAAGCAACCAGAAAATACAGCAACAAATGAAAGGGAAAAAAAAAACAAAAACACAAAAAACCATGTCCCAGTGTCATCCTCCTCTACCAGCTTGCAAACCACTACTATCACATCCTGCTCCTATTGTGGAGTCCACACGTGAGATCACAAAGTAAAACTCCATCTCAGTTCTCCATTACAGCCCACTGAAAGGGAATGCAAAATCCCATCTCACTGAAGGGCTGCAGATTTTCCTGATCCAGTTAGCACCAAAAATCAAGAAAAACATTTAACCTCACAGTCCCAGTCTGAACTACATTTTGGATTCTTCAAGCACCTTCAGATAAAGCATGAAGAGCCAAGCACGCTAAACTTAAACTAATACAAAGCTTTCAGCGCTTACTTCCTTTCTTGCCCAAAGCCTTGGTCACAGCTAGCCAACCTTTTGTTACTGCACCATGTACATGTGAGCATCTTGCTTCCACTCTTAGGGCGATTGTCTCTATACAAAAATGGTTAAAAATAAAGACTCAGATACCTACATCCACTCACCCCACTCTTCTTGGATCACAAAGAGCACATAAATATATATTTAAAAAAACATTAAATGCAATGAAGTGATCAAGTGTGATTTAAAAAAATAATTCATTTTCTCATTCAAAATATTTTAAGTCCCAAAAGAGGATAAAAGTCTAAAAAAGTATAAAAGATAAAAAAATAATAAGTTCCCAAAACAACACCATCTTCAAGGGTAAATGGCTTTTAAAAAGTCAGTACCGCTTCAAGAGTGAACCAGCATACGGCTTTTAGAGACTGCATCTTTCTCTGAGAGTTTATAAATCTACATGTAGAGAAAGGCAATGGTAGATATATCTACTTCAAACCAGTTTAGGATCATCCCCAAAGGACAGAAGTAACAATCTGGTAACAAAGAAGGAATTGCTTACCCCTTTCCGAGGATCAGGGTTCACCAAATGCTCCGAAGAAAGCAATCTCCAAGTAGAGAACCTTTGCCTGTGGCGGCCAGTCCTTAAATGAGGTTCTGGTCACACAGATGAATTGCTTCCACCTGTGCTCCCAGAGCAGGCTACACCCCTTCGCCAGGTGCTCAATCACTGCTTCAGGCCGTGACTTAACAGTTCCCATACACTATACTGTATCTTCAGAGACAGAAGTGAACAAATGCTACTCTCCATGACACTGCTGACCATAAAGAAACTATTAAGAATGGGCGTTTAGGCAGGATGGGATTAGCATACTGTGTGTTTGAAAATCAATAAATGGGATCAACTTTGCAACGACACTTCATTTGTGTTAATTTTTGAATGAAAACACAAAGCATTTGGTGTGTGCTGCAGACTAATTTAGACTCTAACCTTTTCAGTATTATTGTAAGGGAACAAAGGTACATTTCAATCCCTCTATAATTAAACATAGATGTGAACAGTTACATAGAACCAAGGTAAGAGAAAAAGATTTGCATGGTTATTAATCTTGATTTATTTTCCAACCCAACATTTTGGTCACATCCAACAGACTTTCCTCATCTTTTAGTATCAACATTTACCCTACGCAGAACAGCTCAGTTTGTTCACAGCATGGAACAAACAAGTACCTATACCCCCTCCTAGCAAAAGATAGATGCTACCTACAAACACCTACGATGAAATCTAAGTGATGTAAATATTAAAGTTGCACATAATTCAAAAGAGTAACCTCCTCCATCTTGAAGCTTTGTTACTAATATTGATATACTACACTTCCCAGAATTTCTAACTGGACTACAGCCACCTTACAGATGTGACCGTACTGATGTGCAGTCATCACCTTGATATGACATGAAAGAGCATCTTCATACTGTTTGAACAAAGACTATGACCCAAGGAAAGAATGTATCTTCAGTGAATTTCAAAAGAAACAAGATTTGTTTCATAATGTTGCTGTCTGAAGTCTTTGGACTTAACCTGCAGAAATTTTAAAAGGCTCTAAAACCTATTTTGGCTCTTCAGTTCTCAGAATGAATAAGTAAGTAAATAAATAAATAAATAAATAAATAAAATCTCCTCCAGAAATGGCTTTGGCCATTCAATGTAAAGACAACAACCTCACGTTTTATTAGCTGCAGCATTAAAAATGTTCCACCTTAACAAGCACCAAAGCCATCATTATGGTGCTGTGCCATCTGGTTCAGACAGCTCCCTCCTGCACTGGTTATTCTCTCCACTATTTTCTGCCTTCACAGTTGTCATCCTGAAAAACTAATCCAGATCAATCCCTGAGCTAAAATGGTATCCCAGTCATTACAAGGGGCTCCACTGAACTGCACGGACCCAAATGAAGAAGATGTCTCCAGGCATGAGCATGGAAACTTCTGGGGATCGTTAATAAATCCCTTCAAGTTACCTAGCCGAACATACAGCAATTTACTTCAAGCGTGGTAATATACTTTCCAAGAGTAGAACAAGTGTTTTCATTACCCTATATATCTTCCAAAGAAATTATGACAAGGTAAGAGTATTGTGTATGCATGAAGTGATCCTGTTTGCTAGGATAACAGTACACGATGGCTGGAATTAATTTTCCAAACAAGGCAATGTTATTAATAAAAGTGTGACATAGGGAAAAAATCAAATATGCTGCTTTAAAAATCAAAAAACGTCTTTGAGAAGTGATCAGATACAACTTCAATAATGAGCATATTATCGTAACCCAAGAGACAAAACAATCTTTTCAATGGACAGGGACAGAAAACATTAGGATTTTCAGAAGTAGTGATTCGAATCCAAGCAAGGCATATTCTCACAGACAGTCATGTCTCACACTGAGATAAGCCTGTGATGTTGCATCCTACTCATGAAGGAAGAAACACCACCACCTATCTTGTTCCTCAATCTACTTTCCTGATCAGAAACACAGAGAGTGGGACCAAAGTCTGTTTGTCAGTTTTATCAGCCACAAAAAAGCTTCTCCTTTGCAAATCTGTGCATGAGCAACATGATACAATTTGATGATCCACTTAGTGCCTACACAAGGGCTACAAACAGAAAGCGTTGTTCAAACAAAGGAAAACAGAGGTAGTGTTCTCTAATGCGGCCCTCTTACCCTACAAGACAGGTGATGGTATTTGGTAGGAAGGATAAGGAAGGTTTTGATTATCAGTTTCATCAGCTCCCATGCTGACATCAGGGAGCAGGACACAGCCCAACCACATGGAGGCTGAACCCAGCATCTGCTCTCCATGCTGCATGCAGCCACACAGCACCTCTGCCATCCTACACAGACAGATGGACACTCACTCACAGCCATGCCTATCACCCTTCAAGACAACCACCTCCTTCAGTTCCTCCATGAAGCCATCACATATCCTCCCCTGCTACCCAGACTCTCCCTTCCATCCACATTAATCTTGCCTCCCCTTTCAGCATTCAGGTGAATCAAAAGGATTTTTTCAAAGCAAATGTTCACCCCAACCCCAAGCATCTGTACTTCACATCCTGGCCTGGGCAGCATCTTCAGTTCCCTTCTTTCACTACTCTCCTTGCTTACTGCTTCCTTTTCCTTCTCTCCTGCTCTCAGGCCACAGCCCACCCCTCCCTTCCCCTCTTTCAGCATGGTTCAGTTCATCTGCCTGCTCAGTTGGATAGAAAATGCCACTCACACAATTTCCATTCCCCAAAGGAATGGACAGACATTAAGGAACAGTTTTAAATAGAGCAAAGTAAAAGGCTTTGGTGTAGTCCTGTATTTCAGGACTAAAAGTATTTCAAGTCTGCAGTGCTGCAATTGTTTAAGAGCATCTTAAAGCATTCCCAGCAAAAGCACACAGTGCTGAACATCCAGACAGTAGCTTTGGGACATTCTTAATTCCCAGTACCTAACATACATCTGACACATTCATACCAGTATGTGTGTGTCTGATAGTTTAATAGCTAATACTATTATCTCCTGGATGCCCACCAGGCTATTAAGTCATTAGCTGTATCCTCACATCCCGAGATCTTATTGAACACAGTGGGGAAAGAAAAAGGAGAAAAGTCTGTCAGATCTGCCTGAAAACTGTTTTTTCCAAAAGAATCTCTTACACAGTATGCTCCAAAAGGCACTCTTGACTAAAGCCATGTTTAACAAACAATGGAGAAAAATCATTTACTGTGAGGCCATTATCAGACACCAGTGTGCTCCTCAGAGTGGGCAGACATCTGCGACATCTGCTTCAATGAAAACCCCCGGGGGAATATTCTGCAGTTTGGCACTGCAGCTGAGTGTTATAATGTAAAATATGAAGAACATAGCACAGCGGGGTGTCCAGGGACAGGGAAAGGCAATCCAAAAGGACTGCCCTAGTTTCTGTTAAAAATAGGTCAAAGAGGCAGTGTAATAATCAAAGTCTGGCAGCGCATACTAATTACTGACAGAATGTCTTACACTTGCATTGACTGGAAGCAACCCATACACAATCTTGTTAGCTAAATACACTGGGAACCTCCTTGGATATTTAATATTTGAAACGAAAATGCAGATTTCCTACCACTGCGAAAGACTGGTTTTACACTGGATGATCGACAGATTAATTTCCTGTTAAATCAGTAGCTTAGGAAGACATACTTTCCCCATAATGATTTTAAATTCATTGATGGATATTTGCTGAACTAATAAACAAATATGTTGCACTATGACTCTCAAGTAAATTGTAGATGATGTTGATTACAGAACATGAGATTACTACACAAGCGCATACAAAACTGTCCTTGACAGCACTCACATGAATGAAATGGAACCAAAGTACTGAGAAGAATTTGCATATCTTATAATGGAAGATGCAGTAATTAAGAGATGGAGGAAAGTCTCTGCACCTCAAAGTTAACATACAGCCCCAACATTCAAGGCTGATCAGCAACTTTCTCCAAACTAATGTATTAGTAGAACTAGAAGGAATAAACAAATTTTACTCTTTTGCTAAAACATCACTAATATAGCCTTGATCACGTCTTTAAATACCCCACTTTGTGAGTTGTCAAGGTTGTCAGAAAGGGGACAAAGGCAGAGAATTTCATTTTGTAGTTTATATTAAAACACTAAGTGAACTGACCTGAAGAAGATGCTCTTTCCAGAGAGTTATCACCTGAAACTATCCCACAAAATCCTCCTAGATGAACAACCATAATGAAATAAAGAGAAATAAATCTTGATTCAGAAAGCTAGAATGGTGATTTCACAGTTGCATAACAACATAACTATAGATACATAATTTCTGGCATTTTGCAGCAATATTGGTTGGGCTGCATCACCTTTTTCTTCTACTGATTTATCCCGGTAGAAAAATCTGCCATAGCAGTAATATATATACACCATGCAGTAAGGTTAAAAGTCTCTGCAGCTTTGCAAAGAAATGTGCCCAGAAAATTATTTTCCTATTGCTCCATATCCAAGATCTGTAATGGGAAACCAGAAAGTTTATTTAGTCATGAACAATAGAACAGTAATACTGATTAAGCCCCATAACTAAGATTACAGGAAACTAGCCTCCCCTTTGATGTTCATTAACGGCAAATGAAGTTTCAAACATACACAATGAGCAGACACATGAGAATCCTTTATGCAAAAGTTCCTGCTTGAAGCATACAGTTTGGTTCATTTTCCTGTGTGTCTTAGGAAATCACGCAACACACATGTAGGCCTATATGTCCTCCCAGCCCCTTTTCAGCACATTGACCTATCTTCGAAAGTATTGTAATTCTATCAGTTTCACATAAATTGGCAGATAAACAAAAGGAGATGAGGAGAGACAGATGCATGATTTTATTTTCAGACATTTATCTTGTTCCCCTACCCAAATATTCCAATAGTCCAGAGGCAGAAGGCACAATGGCAGGCTGAGAGCAGTAGGCAAGCTGCTGGCCAGGCACAGGAGCAATGACTCACAGCCATCCCTGCTCCCCACTGCCTTGGGAACCCCACACTGTCCCCCTTCTCCTTGGACTCCCTTCACTCTTGCTTAGATACCTGAAGAAGAACACATCCGCCCCAGGCTCATCTTGGTCTATTGGCACCTACAGTAGTCTGGAAAATATGCTTATGTCAAGAACCTAAACAAACAGGCACACACAAATTACTTATGCAGTGTTTAAAATCCTGTTTGCACGTTTGAGTTGGTGTGCAAAAATAGAAATCCACCAATCCTGCTCTGAATGATGTACAGGTATTTATACAATGAAGCAGTAGAAAAGTGCTCAATCTGATTCCAGTTGTATTAGCTACACCTCCAGAACTCTTAGCTGTACAAAGCCTCCTTCATTTCAATGTATAGCTTATTTCACAATCTCTTTTTTTAATTTCCAAAATCTATTTGGACCAAATGTTTTGTTTCGGATCTACCATTGGAGCATGGTGCATTCAACAGTCCAATGCAATGCCTCAGTACAGTGCACCTGTTAAAACTGAGCCTTTTCAAGGAATGGTGAACAAAAATAATCAGCAACAAGGGTGCAGTCTTAAGACAGTGCTTGGAGTGGCCCATAAAATATTGAAATTCTGATAGCGTAAGTTTTAGAATAAAAATCTGATGTCTCATAACTAAGTCATGAGACCTCATCAGCTCCCTACAGCAGTCTTGATGCTTCCCCTAAAAGCCAGGTTGTCCCAAGGGAGCCATCTCGCTAATACTTCTCAGTAGAATGTAGTCTGAGCACAATTGCTGCTAATTTTACTTACCTCATTTGCTTGGTATCTCAGAGCTTTATAATGGCTGGCACTTCTGATGCATTATAATATGGTTTAAAAAGAAATCAGCCTGAATAAAGAGAAGAAAATGCTATTGTCTGCCTTTTTTGTGTAGCTGAAATCTAATTGCAAGCACTTTCCCATTTCCTGGCAGAGCAACCACTATTTTCCACACAGGTCTCTTTCCTGAAGATTTAGGTGATGATTAGCACAAGGAATCAACCAGCCCAGAGCATGGTCTCCATCAGTGCTCTTTCAAAATCACTATCAGCCCCAGGACAGCTGCGGCAGATACACAGGGATAGGGAGACAGACTCACACAATCATTAGTTGAAAAGACCTCTAAGATCACCTATCCAACCCCAACAGATCCCACCATGCCCACTAACCATGTCCCTCAGTGCCACATCTACATGTTTCTTGTTAGCATCCCTCGCTGCTGATGTTGCTGAACACACCATAGAGGACCACAGAGTGGCTTATATGATGGGAACTGTGCAGGATGAGCACTTCCACTGGTTTTTTTTTGTTTTTTCTTTTTTTGCCCACCAGCAGCCCTCAGCTCCTCTCCACTTGCTTTGTGTGCCTTTGCAGCAACAGCTGTGACCTCTGCAGGCTGTTCACCATGCTCAAAAAAAAAAACCCACAGGATTCAAAATTAGCAAATGAATATTTAATCAATTAATATCAGGCAAGTGTGACAGCCTCAGATAAGCCAGTCTTTTCCACAGCGGGAAAGCACCAACGTTTCATTAAACAGGGCATATTTCCTTGCATACCTCATGTAAAACAGAATTAATAAAAGCAAAAGGAAAAATAAGCCAATTTTCGCAAATCCCTCTAAAGGATTTTTTAAACATGTAACACAACAGTGTATCAAAGCCTGTGGTAGCTATTTAAGAAATAAAAATGGAAAGCTGCAAAATGGTTTTAGTTTCAGACCAACAACTGAACAAGAGATTACCCTAAACTTCACAAGCTTTTTTAAACAAGTCCCAAATGCAGATAATTCTCCCCACCTCTGTGCATCACTTATCCTGCTGTTCCTGACAGCAGCAGGAGGAACTCTAAAGCTGTACAGCTCCATCACCACCCACAGAGCGGCCCATAACTTCCAACAAAGCAGCAATGTCTTTACATGGCCAGAATTAGCCACTTTGATACCTCAAGCTGGGAATCTGCAGCCAAGGTATTTACCTTACCAAAAAGGGCACTTCTCATCAGGACACCTGTTTACCCATAACTAGGTTTTCCAACAGGTTTCCATAACCAGGTTTCTCCAGGCACCTCACCTTCCCCAGAGAGGGAGCTGAGAACAGGATGGGCTCTGAAGACACACACGGGTCACCAGGAGCAAGACTAGATTTTTTTTCTGGATCCAGAGGTCAAAAATTAAAAAAAAAAAAAAAAAAAAAATTAAAAATATTCCTGTTGAATTACACGTTTTTAATGGGCACAGCTTGTGAATCAGAAAGCAGCAGCAATGGAAGTGGAAGACAAAATTAGTTGGTCCTGTTTTGATGCAACAGAGTTTCCAGAGAGTTCCCAACAAGGTTGAATGACAGGAGGTGATAGGAACAGGGTGGAGCATGTTTTAAGAGCTCTCAAAAGGGGGGATAGACCCTCACGCCAACACTGTGTAGGTCTTTGCACTGGAGTGATTAGGGATTTCTGCTTTTCAAAAATGATACAGGGCTCTAGTCTTCAGAGGAAAAATTGGGTATACATATCTCCAGGGATCAGTATTTATTCATTACAGTAATTACTGCTCCTCCCAGTGCACAACTTCCACCTTCTGCAGCATCAGTAAGACCACACGGTGCTAGTGGTGAGGCACTGATTTCCCAGAGCATCAGCTTTCTTCCTCCTGGCCCCACATCCTCAAAGCTTCTTGCTGATCACAAGTGTGCACAGCCCATTGGTCACCTCTCAGTAGGCTCATCTATTTAATTTCCAGCAGAGGGACACATTCTTCTGAAAGAAAATATCTGAATACTTCCTTTTCCAGCACCAGTTGCAATTAGAAACATTAAACAGCAGAACCAACAACTTTGGGGAGGGTGAAACAGCACTTTGTCAAGATTTTCCTGCCTTGTCATACTCCAACCATATTCAGAGCAACACTGGGATGGTGTCAAAAAAGCTCTCAGTGCACAAAAGCTGATTTATTTCAGCTCATTAGCAGTGCTTGATATGGGTCTCATTGGCTAAAAAAGATGGGTGCTGTGGGAGGTGAGAAACATGTTCACTTCTCTTTTCTCATTCCTACAAGGGAAAAACCTCCCACCCAAATTTTTCCTATTGGTATGCGTATGCTCCTTTTTTATTTTTTCCCCCCTAAAAAAGAGAAAAATGCATCCTTATATTTAAAATAGCACATCAAATCAAGCCAAGCATTCTCTAAGGCTATGCAAACACTCCAAATCCTCACAGAAGCAGAGCTCTTGTCTTAAATGAGAATTTGCAACCACATCTGCAGTTCACCAAAACAGGCAGACTGCTGCCCTTCTGCTTGCATATAATGATAAACCATTTCTTGGAGATTGAGATCCCTCTTGGAATGTAAGTAATTAAGAAAATGTCTGTTTTAGACCAGGATGGTGCCATGCCAGTTATGCATCAAAATGCCTCTGCTGCACAGCCGGTAGCCAAGTAGGCTTCTTTTAATAAAATTTAACTTAGCCCTTAGCCTTCCTATAAATGTGTATTTACCTTATGTTAACAATCTTTCAGCAGTGATAATAAATGCACTGCAGACAGAAAATAAATACAATTCAATACAGTTTTGTAACTATAAGACAAAATAATAGAACCACATTCTTCTGTCCAGTAGCATATGCCAAGTCTGATAAGCAAGTGCAAGGAAACACTCTTTTCTAATGTAAAAATCCTGATCCGTATATAACACATAGAAGAAGATTTGAATGTGTCTGGACAAAAGCCTGAACAACACAGCTTTCTGGAATGAAATCCTTGAATAATACCTGCTTATCAGCCATGCAGTGGGTAGCATCACCTCCAAATACAATCTCTCACTCTGAAAAACCACACACAGAAAAAGCTTGTTAAACATGAAGCTGTGCACAGCCTTTCACTCTCAGAAAATAAGGTGGTATTTACCAAACACACAGTTGCACGCAGTTTTCCACACAGGAAATGGCCATGTATTGTATCTCTCTATAAAGATTAAAACAAACAGGATCCACTATAAATGTATTACACTTTGAATAGTAATCATCGACTGAAGACTTCCAAACAAAATCCTGGTTAACTTTTCTCAACTAGATTATTGAAGGAGTTTGCCCATAACAGAAAAACATGCCACCATATCACTGTTACAATGAGAACAAAACCGTTTAAGACACAACAAGCTACGTTGTTGGTGATAAGATACATTATTAACCTTTGCCAAGTTATATAAGCTAAGGTGTCCGAAGGATATTGAGCAAGAGGAGGAGGTCTCTGAGGCACTGTTGGGTTTCTGCCACTCTAACTTTTGCCAGACACAAGTTCTCCAGAAGAACTACAGATGGCTCTCTCATGGAAACTTCAGCCCTGATCACTTAAAATACACAGATTTTACGATTTGAGGAATATTCTTCATGGGAATGTAACGTAAGATCTAAACAATCCTCAGTTCTGGGACCATATTGAAAACATTAAGTTAGGGTCCCACAAAGCCGTATATTTATTCATGAAAGGCACACAGACCCTCCCAGCAAGCTGTTGCAAAAATCTTCTGCTCAAAATTCTCAGCGAGGAAGACCTAAGAGTTCAAAGTGAACTAAAGCATTCAAATGAATGTTCAGTGATGACCACTCCATTCCCCGCGGTATCACCTTTGAAAGGCCAACAAATGCTTCCAGTCATATATCTCTCTTGTAGTTCATGTTCGATCCTATCAGAAGCTGCTGCTTTAATATTTACAATGCAGTTACAGGAGACCAGCACACAGCTGCCTTTCCTGCTCAGGTTCCTTCCCAAAACACCTACAGCTCCCTTATCTGCCTCGCCATTAGGTGGCAATGCAGCAACATGCATTGCCCAGCTGATGGCTGGACGGCACATTTATCCAAATTTCTGGCAACACTGATTGAATATTTTGAAAAATAAATAAATCCTTTTTCTTTTTCCCTCGCTCTTACTCATCACTGTATTTTTTTAAACTGAAAAGGAGCAGAGGTAACTGTACATAACATTCATTGCTGCCAAAGGCCTGTGATGAAAAGGCCTCGCTCATGCTTCTACAGCAGATCCAGAAAACTGCTTCCTAAACAATGCCAACATTTAAGCCCTAAAGACAACAAATGCAATTTTGGAGATCAAGAAAAATTACCAGATATTTCAGGGAAGTTTTGTGTGTCCAGAAAAGCACGTTCCATCCTTCAATTCATCTGGCTTTTTCCTATAGAGAACAAACAAAAAACAAAACCAAAACTCTAGAAACATTCTCAACAAAAAAACATATTTTACAAATTGAAAAACTGCACTTTGGATAAAACCCCCCTTTTTTTTTTTTTTTTAATTGAAATCATAACTCAGACACATTTATATGCCCTGGATTTCTCTTTGTCTTGCTTTATATTCATGGTGCCAGAAAAGTAGCTTTTAATAAAGCAACAGCTGGACTCAGACTCTGGGAATTACTGTGTTTTCATCTCTGCTTGGTCTGACTGCTAACCAGACCACTTCCTGCGGAGGAAATCAAAGTCTTTTATGTCACAGAGTCACGAGCTACGACATATGTAAGTGCTCTGCAGGAACTCAGCAAAAGCACTTGCAAGCAGAAGGGAGGAGAAAAAGTGCTTCCATTAAGTCTTATCCGTTGACTTTTTAAAGAAATTCCAGCCTGCTTCTTGTTTTGTCTGTGGGCCATAACATTGGCCTTTGTGTTTAGCTTGTGTTATGAAATGCAGTTGTACCATGAACAGAAACCCAACTCTGAAGACCCAACAAAATGGGAGCCCTGAGTGCCAATTCCTCTCCTCTCCATCAGAGCCTCTCTGCAGCAGTTGGATGCCACCAATTCAGATGAGGGAAGGTGAAAGTTGAAGCTTTTTGTATAATTTTATTTTAGAGAATAAGTACAGAGATTTGCCTGGCTCCTACACAAAATCACTGCAGAAGTTCTAGTCTTTAATAGAAATCTCAAACAATGTGTTCTTGAAATGAAACGTAGGCTACTTAAATACAGACAACCAAACTTAAGATGGTATCAAGTCCAAAGAAGATATCACTTAAATTCTTAAGAAAAAAACCCCAACAACTGGAAAACCTTTAACCCTCCATCTGGAGCACAAGCATTCCTTTAAGTTGTCATTTTATTAGACAGAAGACAACAGAAGCATTTTAAAGGCTTTTTCTGCACCTTCCCTTGCTCACTGTGCTCCTCCAGGTAGCTCTCGTTTCCAGGTCCGCTTTCAGTAACTCAGCCACAGCAAAGAGCACTATGATCTCCCCCGGAGCCTGCCTGGGTCATCATTCTCACTGCCATCAGCAAGGCTCCTGGTTCCAGATTTGCCTTTCCCAATGCTTGTCCTGCTTGCTGGCTTCTGGAACATGGCTACTCTAGTTCACCAAGTCCTCCATCTGCCCCAGGTACTCTCCTTTACCAGAAACATATTTGTGAATGAATAGGGAAAAAAATGAACAAATACTGTCCACCACACCAAAGGGTTTTTATACTTTCTTCTGCATACGCCAATTCCATACACCAGCCCCCATTCACTGTGCTGTAAGCCAGAGCAGTGAAAACCAGGAGCAGCCAGTAATGCCAATTTCTCATTGCTACAAAGATAACTATTAAAAAAAAAAAAAAATTAAAGGAAAAGAATTGCATTCATAAGGCCTTATGCTGCAATTAAACACTGCACTGGAAGCAAAGTGGTCAGCAGAGAGCAGTGCCCCTTGCAGAAGGAGGGGTGAGGGCCCTGGGTACACTCTGCAACTCACAATGCGGTGAAGAGCTCAGAGGATTTACAGCCGGTCAGGGTGAGGAACGGAATAGATTTAAAAGGCTGAGAAGTGCTGCTGCTCTCTGGGAGCTTTGCAGTGCATTTTATAGCTTTGAAATATTACAGGCATTGTTTTTGAATCAATAATAATGAAAATAATCACTCTTGAAAGCACTGCTCAAGATTCATCCTCTTGCTGGCAACTTCGTTTTGCTTATCGCTGATTTACACATTCTTGATATATTTCCATTCTTATCACTTCCATACTCTTTCTATAGTTCAGAAGATATTATAAAGCCTAGTCACTTTTCTCTTGGGCAGGATCCAGATGGACTGCCAGACCATGTTTTCTACTAATATTGAGTTCATTACAGTCAATGCACTCACATCACCATAAAACCTATAAGAAAGGCAGAGAACAAGGCCAGGCACAAGCAGATGCAGCTTTGATTGATAAAGTTCACACACTTGCTACCTAAGAAGCACTAGACACAGCATGCACTAACTGCTCTGCAATAAATAATGCTGAGCACACAGTGAATTGTGCAAGCCTGATAATGGCATCCTGCAGTGCTCCTTTGCAAACAATAGAGCAGAAACTGGAGAGAACACTCCTTTAGAAAAACTAGTGAGAAAGCACTGAGGAGATAGGTGTAAAAACCTAAGAGAAAGGGCATGCACACAAAAAAGTAGCCCTGTGTGCAAAGTAAAAGCCCAAAACTGTGTTAGTAGAGCAGTAGCTAGAAAGCAACATGACATACATTCAAATAGGGGAGTTCTGGTTCAGGGAAACCTGTGCGCTTCTTATTCTTCCTTCGTGCATATCTGTGTGCTGTGATAGCATGCAACAAAGGGAGGCTGATTATAAATGAATGTCTCTCACATCATGTATTTACCATGCTTCTGCAGGGCTAAAAATAACAGCTGGCAGCAGCATAAAGTTGCTACCCAAGGAATAAAACCTAAGTGAGTAATGGGGCAAGTTGACCAAACCTGACTCCTTAGGACAGCGAGGAACATCTGGCTTGTCTCCATGGGTGTGGTGACTAAGCCAAGGGAACCGGCCTCAGTGAAATCAGCCCCTGCAGCAATAGCTGTCATTTTTTCAGATTAACATTTACTAAATCCTGTTGTGCTCAAAAGCTGTAGGGCTGCGCCTAGAGGGCATGTAAACTCTGCAATGACCACACTCAAGGCATGATACACAAAGCAGGATGCAGCCCTGCACGTGGCCATCCCCTCCCGCCCCATCGCTGTGAGCCCCGGGCATTTTGAGCATGGCCTCAGGCTCCAGAGGCACTGAAACTGCCTTTTAACACCAAGGCTATCCCTTGGTCCAGTACCAGAACTTTTATTGTAGAAAAAAAGGAATAACAAAAGAAAATTAAGATTATCACCAGACTATATCTGAGTTGAGAGAGAAAGGAATTTAAGACACTGAAGGAACAGTGCTTCCCTATGACTTCCCTCTACTGACTCCCAAAGGCTGCAGATACGCACAGTGGAGGTGCTGAGCTTCTCCAGATATCACAAAAAACCCTTCTATCAAGAGCTGGTGGGGCATCACTTCAGGGCAGTCACTGCCACCTCCCTTTGTAACAAGTTGTAATTTGGCTGTAAGAACGGGAAAGGCAAAGTTTCACAGGCATAGAGGAAAATGGTTCAGAAGCAGATTGATAAGACATGCCTTTGTCATTAAGAGATGGAGCATAACCATAACCTCTGCACCTCAGATAACCACAAATGCACCTGCTAGAGATCCTCTTCTGTTGTCACACTCTTCCACAAGCAGCCATGCTCGTCTACCCACACTGAGACACACTGGCAGCCCCCAGACAGATGGACACATCTGTACTGCCATATTCCAGCACTAGAGCCCTCAAAAAGTGACCGCCTGGCCCAGTGAGAGCTGGCTCCAGCAGAGACACCCCAAAATACCCTTCTAAAGGGGAGATAAGACACATCTACTTAAGTCTCTTCATTTCCATAACACTGTATAATTTTGGGTACATTAAAAAATACCCAAAGATGACACAGGAGTTTAAAGTAAGGATGCTGAACTTAGAAACACAACTTCAGCCAGCTCTGTCCTGTTGTTAGTGGTATCCTTAAAACAGTTCTAAGAGCATTAAGGGAAACTCAGAAAGGCTGGCAACAACATGGCACTGAGGTTAACTCCTCCAGATTTTTGATAGGTACCAAATCCCGCATTAGGTTCTAGGAGAATCTGGGGTGGGAGCTGTTTTTATAAACTCCTTCCCCAGCATATCAGGGCAGAAGAGCATTTAAAGCCCAAACAGCTAATTCATTTATTTATTTTTTATTACTGAAACAAATAAAACTGACTTTCAAAAGTCTAGCTTGATGGATTCTGCAGACAAAAAATAAATCGATTTTTTCTTCCCATTTTTTGTCACCTGTGCCAAGCTAAAATCCATTGCAGATTTTCTGCATCTGCATTTAAATTGTCAAACAAGTGCTCCTATTGCAAAGTAATAGACTTCAGGGCTGCAGAGCGACACAAAGAGCTGTGGCTGGACCGTCGTGAGTAACAAAGCGTACGTCTTTCTGTTACCACACAATTTTCAGTGAAATATTTCTGTATTGCTTTTCCAGTGAGCCAATGCCCACCTCCCTGCTAGTAGCCGAGTGCTTCATTTCACCTATATTTCCGCTAGCACTTGCTAAAGCAGTGATCCAGACTAAGCTGGTTTGCGCTGCCTACGACAGGATGTTAGGTATTGAGAGGCTGCGTGCATTAACTGCCAGAACAGATGAGTGCTTTAACACTTACAAATCACGGGGAGAAAAGAATAGAGCAAGAGAAGATCATTCACATGTTGCCCATTTAGATATGCCGATATCTTATCAGCTCACCACAGCCCAGCCAGATGTGGAGGTGAGCAGAATTCAGGCACAAAGCTTTGTGCGAAGGGGCGGCAAATGCTGCTGAGTGCAGCAGGAGCTCTCGGAGGGGCTCAGCTCAAGCACCACACAAATTCCAGCCATCAAAACCCTCCATCATTAATGGAAATTAAATCTCAATCCTCTGGTGAAAAAACAGAGGAGAGTCAGGGCAGGAACAACTTCCTTGATTCAGTGCAGGCGGAGAGCTCGCCTTGTTACTCACATTCCTTAATGGCAATCCGTTACTGGGAAGTGACATGAATTCTGCTTAATCCCTGTTTTGCTGCATATTGCTATTTGTGCTCACAGGAATTTCCATTTGTTTCAGCTCTCTGCAAGGTTATTCAAGGGACAGCACAAAATAAATAAATAAGTAAATAAATCAGAGGAGGGCTGAGAGATTATTCTTCCAGGAGCTCCCTTGTAGTAAGAGCAAATAATATCTATATCTCGTTTATGGACTAGATAGAGGCAGAGGTTTCCCATACACATTAATTTTAGTTTAAATGAATACGGTAACTTAACATTTGAGGAAACACATCCT